GAGGGTACCCCCGGATCCGTCAATAGTCGCAGATATAAACGCGATAAAATTTTCCCAGAAACAGCTCACTAAGGGAAGTCAAATTTAGGGAAAATCTCTGATTTATTGGTCTGGAAATTTTTAAGTCTTAACTTACTCAATAGCAAAGATTAATCTTTCACGAGGATTTTTGATAGCTCAAAGAGAAATTTAGACGTTGATGAGGGCATAAAACTGAAAGGTTCCGTCATAACGAACTCAAAAACTACAGTGTACTGGATTTTGAAATGATACCACTTAAAACTCTTTCGAATCTGCAAATTTCGCACAAAGCACAAGCACAAATATAAAATTTCACAGATTATTTTCAGATATTTAATTGGCATCAAACAGCTGCTGACTGATATTGAACTGACCAAATATTGTCCGAGCGAACTTCGATTGCCCACTCTGCTCCAACAAATATGCTATTGCAAGCAGTAATTTGGACACATCCGTGAAATGAGACTCTCAGAAGCCAATTGAAACGCAAAATTTCATAATGTGAGATAAGCCATTTTGTAACAATAATTCCTTGGCAGGGTGTAATTATTACAAAACAGCTTATCACATTATGAAGCTCTGCGTTTAGGTTAACTTCTCAGAGCTCTAAGGCTTCCAAATCTCTTGATTTTTTCGATCTCCTAACTTTCGTTTTTCGCAGCTTTTTTTACCTGCTGATTAACTTTAGCGATGGTGGTGGTCAATTTGTTGGTCACGTTGTTTCTTGTGTTTTTACGGTCTTTATGGCTTTTTTCATTTGGACGGAGTTGCTAAATGTTTCACTGTATCAATCAGATACAATAGCATAAATAGATCAGCTGTCGTTTACTGTAATTGTTATTTTTTAAAAGATACTGATTCATGATTTTAATAGATTTTGGGTTTGTTTCGAATAAAAAAACGTTTAGGGACTAGTGGAAAATTACCCAGAAAAATCCAGAACAGTTTTCCTTCTCCTGTTGCTCCTCCTCCCCTCCCACCTCAACACCTTGTTCCTCGCAATAAGCAGAATTGCTCAGTAAAGTGGAAAAGCCCCGATAATGGCACATTGAGCCAAAATATGACAACAAATACCCTTTTTTGCAACTAGGCATCCCTTCGTTTTCTTCAGTATTATCTTCTCAAGATCAGTACAGCTTTTATGGTCGTCGTCATTATTATTATTAGCATTATTATTGTCACTGTTATCACCACTGATCGTTATTATTTTTGCCTCCAAAACGATTTTCCTTTAACTTTCTTTTTCAAAAAAAGATTGATGCAATCGGCATTTTTGATGAGGAAACAAGCATCGAAAATTTTGCTTTTTTCTTCAAAGTGTCTCTATTTTTAAATCGAATTTATAAATTATTATTGACTGTTTTCTAGATCTTTGCTCCGTCTTATGGGTCTCTTGTTTTCGTGACTCTGGAACAAATAAATAAAAGGAGGGAGGGGAGGGGGACGGTTTTTTTGCGTCTTTGAAACATAGCTGGAAAAAAATAAACCTAAGATCTGCGAAACGATTTGATCCCAGTGTTGCATCAGACCCTGGCGCTGTCATTTGGACTCCTGA